CCCCAAAACCCCAAAACCCCAAAACCCCAAAACCCCACTTTGGGAAAATAGCAGTTGATCTAGATTATGAATTAATATAAGTTTATAAAGTATCAGCAATGAACGTTAAATCATCAGACAAAGGGATGTAGCTAGACTATTCAAACTAAAACTTAATATTCATAGATGCAATAATGGCCCATGTGATTTAGAGTCAATCTTATCTGACTGGATTGAATATATCTAACAATAATTTAACCAGATTATTCTAGAGCGATGACTATGATTATCAGATTTTAAGCCTTGAATCTCTAGATATTTGTGAGAACCCTATTGCAGATGTGTCCCATACGGTTTATGAAATTTAAAGAGCTTTTCCAAACATAATTGACCTAAGGCTAAATCTCTATGACGAAGATCATGTAGACTTAATAATGAGATAATTGCCTAAACTTTAATTCCTAAATTCATTACCTGTTGAGAGAGATGAAGATAGTATTTCTTAAGTTCATATTGTAGAAACTAGGCCAACCGATTAAGAGGAAGAATATTAATATGAATTTTCAAACAGCAGCACTCCGATCGTTCATGATAAGTTGCCACAAATGATTTTTGAAGATAGGCTTAAGCTTCCTACTAAAAATTTAAACAATTAGTTCTCACAATAGAATATTCAATCATAGAGACACTTACTTTTATAATCAAGCAGAAGCACAAGAGAATAAAGCAAGTCTGTTTCAAATAATGAACCCTAAGAATTGACTTTAAATCCAGGAGATTTAGAGTAAATAGCACAGATATATGATAAGATTAGGGCCATGCATAAAGAAAATAATCCTGGCAATGATAAAAGACTTGCTAGTGAGTTTGATAATCATTTGAAGACAGTCATGCTCAATTTATCTAATGCTTTAAGGAATGATGATGCACCTTTAAAAGAGAGAAATGCAGAAGTACTTAAATCCAAATACTTTCTGTATGACGTCTGCTTCGAAAAGTCAATCTAATATCTCTAAATGGTATCTTTGGACTAGGAATCTGAAATATTTGACTAAATAAGACAAGGTATCTGCTCAAGTTTTATTTACATGAGTCAGCAAGTAAACATTACAGATCAATAAAAAAAAGAAAGAGATAGCACGCCTACAAGAGCAACTCAAAATCTTGAAAAACAAAAGTTGCAGAAGATCATTGAGCAGTAAAAAATAGAAATAGATAAGGCAAATCTCTACTCAAAGAATCTAGAGGAAAGGATTCAAAGGATGATGGAGGAGTAGAACTCTGAGAGAGAATACTATAGAGTTGAAAAGTAAGAACTGCAAAACTAGATTGACTATCTTGAAACTGAAAACAAAAAATGCATTGAGGTGCTTATCAAACACTCTAAAGACTAGAGTCAGAGTCATCTAAACTCTAATTTAAATACCCAAAGAGACCCTTTGAACTTCAATAACGGCTCTACAAAGTTATTGATTAACTGCGATAGTGGAAATTTATCTAGTCAGCCATCAATTTCTCCTCTCGGATTAAATAAAAACAGAATCAATTAAATTTCATAGATGTCTATTGAAAACTAAAAGAAGCCATCATAAAAGTTGAAGTATATTAATGTTCCTTAGATATAATAGCCATTATAAAATAGAAATTTGACTATTAAATAGCTTAAAGAGCTCATCAATGATATCTATCTATGCAAAAGCAAACATGATGAGAAAAATTGTGAAAACAAGTAGGCTAGAGAAACCATGGAATAATTCATGTATACTTACCTAAATTAAAGATATGGACTTAAATAATTAATAATAGAATGGGCTTAAGCCATTATCAATGGCATTAAGAAGTACTAAAAAGAGGATAATGAGGTTTGTCTCTTTGGTAAAATATTGAGAAATGAGGTTAATGAGGAATTTAGACTGGTTTAGCTGCATGTCAAAGATACAGTAAATGCACTCTTAAAGCAATTTATTAGAGAAAAATACACTCATAAATCAGAGCCTGAAATAAATAAGATGTATGATGAAATACAAAATGACAAAGTCAACATTGATAATGGTTACTGGACCAAAATTATAGAGAGAATGTATGATGATAATGATGTAATCACTCTAAAGACTAAGATAAGAGACACATCCAGAAACCTTATGAGAGAAGATATTTAAAAGTAGTTATAAGGGAATTCAAAGTCAAACCACGCTGCTAGTAGTATTTCTATTGTTTCATCTAGCAGTACTAAGCATGCTAACAAGCCTAAGTTAACTCGAGAGGAATAGCTTTAACTCCTAAACCAGTTGAATGATGATAGTAATGTAAAAGTCTACTTTAGCAACTATATGAAGAATGTTCTTGATTTCTAGATGTCTGAGCATGAAAGATATCTGAAGTCCTTCATTTATGTATTCAGAAAGGTTGATAAAGATAATGATGGTATTCTCAATGAAAACTAGTTCAAACTACTTATGGAGGAAATTAATCTATGCAATGGTTAAGATGAAATCAGATACTTCTTGCAAATACTTGATCCATTTAATACATAGAAGATTACCTTCAGCGATATCATTTAACTTTTCTCATCACATTAAGTATCAGATGAAATAGAGGAAGATCAAGAATAGATTAAGTTGCCTTAGAATGATGGAAACAAGATACCTCTCCTTGAAAGACTCACTAAAATGTATGGAGCCATGTGAAAATTAGATAACTATATAATTCTATGATTTGTTTATTTTTATGAAGATTTTGGATTATGAATAATTTAATTACAAAATAACTTACTTTATTCTAATGCGATTATTATCCTGCAGGGGTTTTGGGGTTTTGGGGTTTTGGGG